AGTTATTAATGTTGAACTTTTTACAAATTAACAACTTATAAGTAATTAATGAAGCATATTCCATGCTTATAAGTTGTAACAAAAATAAGTTTTATCTTAATTTAGACCATTTTGATTGATTTTGGATGGTCTAAATTCATTTAAATTTTGTTTATGTTTAAATGATTTTTATTTTAATAGATATAAAATTGAAAAATAAAGATAATCTCATATCTAACATTTATTAAACTAAATTTATCATTAAAAAAATTGCAGGTTAAAAATTTTAAATCTAGATTGTCCATATTAATTATGCATGATTTGGATTTCATTTCAACGATAAGCATGATACTAATCATTGTAATTAGGACTGAATGAGGAGCCAAGATACCTATAAGTGGGAAAAAAAATAAGATTCAATAAAAAAAATAAAAACCTAATAAAAAGGGATAAAATTGTGGCACTTAGATCTTAATTTTTCACAAAAGCTTTTTATCCCAAATTCGGAACATAAATAAATTTCTTGTACTGATTTATTGCATGAGCTGTCTTCACATGTATACGAAACTTCATCCAAAATATAGAACAAAAGAAAAACAAAATGTTAAGAGACACTGCCTCTGATGGCTTTGCAGGCTGCTGCATCCTGCAGCATTCTGGCTACTTCACAGAAAGGAGAGAGCGACAAGTCATAGCAGCAGTAATCGAAGGGTCATCTGTCTCTATTATTCATTTGGGACCATTTAGTTAGTTAGTCAGTCTCTTATCAGAAACTACCTTGAGATGCCCACCCATTACGCTTACTTAGATTAAAACTACTACTAAAGAAAAAAAAAAATTAATTCTTTTTAATGATGATCTTTATTATGTTTAGCAAAGTCCTTCTCTATGCGTAAATGGGTTCAGACTTCAGAGTATCCAACTAGCTCTGACGCATAATAAGTGATAGAACAGAAGAACACTCTCCGACAGTTATAAAGAATAGTCCCTTTTCGTTCTCTTGTTTTAGAACGAGTTACTAGGAAGAATTAATTGGTTTGTCTTTCTTCGTCTTCATCTTCTTCTTGGGTTTCTCTCACTTCCTTCACTATTGTTTTATTTGTTTCCTTGAATAGATTTATAGGTTTGGGAACTCTTAACTTCTCTTTAGTATCTCAATTTCTAAGTTTCTGTTTTGAGAGATTATCCATGTCTTGGACATAAAAGAAACGTACAGAAACATGACGTGTTCTAGGGTTCCTGGGAAATCCAGATCTACTTTCTCTGTGGCCGATTAGTTTATTTACATCTTCTATATTGAAGAAGAGTCCATGTTTACTGCATATATATGTTGCTAAGAAACCAGGGTTCGTGATTTCTGGATGAGCCTCATAATTATAAAGAACAGAAGTAAATTCTAGGGTTTTTGAGGCAATTCTAGGGTTTGACGCTCAGGATATATGCAATATTCTTATTGCTCTCAGCACACCATAGCTCACTCGTTGTTTCAACCGGCAAATTAAAGTGGACTTTACTCCTATTCGAGACATCTTGAAAATTAGTAACTTCGAAAAATGGTAAAGAAAATAACAAGACTGATTAAACATAGATAAAAAAACAGTATTGAGAGTAATATTAATTAATCCAATTACCAAAAGTTGATCTCTAATATTAACCAAGTCGGAAAAAAGTTAAAACTAGTAGTCCTTTTTACCAATTTAATAATCCGTCTTAGAAGGCTTTATTGAGTATTGAATTTGGGTAAACAAGTAAAACAATGATTAAAAACTGGGTACGCCTAATTCTGATTTGTACATCATATGCACTTGATTAGTTTGACTTTCTTTTGCAGAAAGCATGAGGCAAGCTTCAAGCATGATTCTTTTGCAAAAAGAAAGTTATGCCGTGAAGAAGTACTTCCGCGCTTCTTAAACATTACAATATAATTAATCCTTTGCTGGTTTCTCAGGCTACTCTCTCTCTTTCCCAAACACAGAAATTTTGAAGTCGTTCCCATGCATATCTCTCTGCAACTAATTAAAGCTGTGTGGTCCTGTTCATACACAGTAATAAGGTGCTCTAAAGATAACGTTGTGTAATTGGTCCCTTCCCCTATATAGGAGTAGCTTTCATACACATGGAAATGACACTGCTCTTAGACTAGACACCACAACTTTTGAATCTACCACACACACACTTATCTAAAGTGGATTTCTTTTCCCTCCCCTGTGTCTTTCAAATCACCGCCATGTGATTATACCTTCCTCTCCTCTTGTTTTCTTTCCCTTCTTTGTTCTTTTTTTGTGTATGGTGGATTGCGATTACTTTATTCTTCAAATTAGGGTTTTCTGTGGTTGAGAAGGAGATGAGCTCTTTAATTCATGTTAATGTGCGCATGTGGTGTAATGAAAAAATGATTTATCTTCCTCATGAAGTTAAACTTTCGTCTTATCTAATTTGCTTTCCAACTGTGCAGAGGCATCTTTTTCAGGAAGCAATCTTATTCAAATGATCGAGTGCTAAATATGCGACCACCTCTTCCAATAATGAAGATTTAAACCATAACTCAGCATTGTGAGAACTACTCCTTCCAAGAGACCAAACCCCTGTTGGTTGCTCTCCACAATTTTTATTTGGTCATTTATGCACTTTATTTACTTAATTTTAATCATTTTACCTTGGTTAATGTTGCATACAAAAACACATAAAAAAATAGCAAAGAATTACAATTAATCAATTATTTTTTTAAAACAATTAGGAAAATGATACCTAAAATACACGACTCCCTTAATAATATGAAAAATGATAAAGTAAATATAAAAACATATTGGGAATCAAGTTTTACGCCACAACATGGTTGGAAGTTGAAATTAAACCCTAATTAACAACCCATATTATATTTCATTTTCATCTTTTGAGTTAGCTTTAGGAAGCCAATTTGTGTATAATTAAAATGATCAAATGAACATGTATTCCTATAAAACTAGAATGTAGGCTCGATCTATTGCGGGGAATACATAAGAAATAAGCCATCCTATTACAATAGTACGACTGCCTATAAAACTGATTAATATTGCTTTCATTTTTGTTACAGGAATATTGATATTGCTGATTGAAGTTAAAAGAAAACTATGTTAAGATACAAAGGATGTATAGAGTATTCAAATACATATGAGAAAACAAGTTAAAGCGATGCTCATAATAATGATGATAAGAAGAGAAGGTACTGTTTGCCTGGCGTCTTTTGGCTTAGCTAGTTTCTATGGACCCCATCATGTGATGCGTTTCTGTCACAAAACCTTTCGTAATTGTCGATAAAGTGTGACAAACCACTTTTCGAAATGTGCAACAAGGGTCCCCTTCGCAGGTTATTAACTTTCATACACCTCTCTTCGATCTGCTTGTGACCAGCAAGTAGTAATATATGAATACCTATGCATATTCTGCGTGTGCTTGTGTGCGCGCGTGTGTATAACGAGCAAGAGAATGAATCACCATCAGTAGATACAATGTACAAAACATCGTAAGACTGCAGAATGGATAGACATTGTGTGAAACTCAAATAATTTATTATATTTTCCCATGTGTTTCTGTCAGTCAATATAATGATGGATGTGCGTAGGATAATGTACACTGACTCTAGAAGTTTTTTGTCACATCGTATACAAAAGTTTTCACCTTAACCGCTATAATCATGGAAATTATGATTGCCCATTACGCTTGATGAGCTCAAACCGTTCCACAGGATATAAATTAAATTATAATATAACATGGATCTTCTGATTATCTAATTACTTCCTAGAACAAGTTTCGGGATGAGCACGATGATGATGCTCGTCAAATTTTAATCGTTTAAATTTAATATGAACAGTCAATGTTTAATTTTTTTTATTTTTTTAAAAATGTTTTTCGTTAATAAGTAGATAATCCAAACTAAATGTAATCTTTTAACTATAAATTTTTTAAAAAATCATTTTTATTTAAGAAATTATTAATTAAAATTTTAAATTTAGATAACAAAAACTGTTTGAATAGTATAAATTTCACCACGGTGATTAGTGTTATGGTGCTCATCTCCAAAACTGATTCCTTAATGCATAAGTCTTGTTCCCCTTAATTTTTTTTCTTTTTTTTGTTTTAGACACCTCTTAATTTCTTTCTTTCAGTTCAGAAAACAAAGCAGAGAAGAAGATCCTCTCATTTTTCTCTTTCTCATTTTCTTCGCAGAGTGTCATCTCTATCCTTAAATCAGAAAATAGATGTTCAAAGAAAACATTGCTCTTGATATTTCTCTCTCTTTGTTTTGAAGTCTACATTCTTTGGACAATATCTACGTTGATGTGAAAGATTATTGCATTATTTGGTTTTTACTGTTCAATTTTCGTAGGTAATACCAACGTAACTAGTCTCACAACCCACATTTTGGCCCGCAACTAATATGAACGAAGTTGAGTTAGGTTATATGTGCATAGAGCTCTTCTAGTTGCAATTTTTCTTCGTCCACAATTAGAACTCAAGATCTTGCTTAAAGAGAATTAAGCACAGAACCACTTGAATCAACTATCATGTTTTAATTTACTTCTCAATTTTATCTTCTCTTTTCAAGACACGTACATTTCTCAAGTTTTAATTTAAATTTAAGAATTATCAAACTCAAACAAAGAGCAGTTCTTTTACCGTAGTTCTTTTTCTATATATCTACATATTTTGGAATATAAATTTCTTCCATTCAAATTAACAATCATTTATGCTCTTTTTGTTACATCACCTTTTCCACTTTCTCTCTGCTAATATATTTGATTTATCTTTTATTAAGAAAAAGAAATGACTTGATATTACAATGTGAGATAGTATCAATAATTTCTCAATTCATATAATTTTAACCTACTTTCTTTGCTTGACTAATTTGGATATGTGCCACGTGGCCACCCATTCGCCATTGCTTTATCTTTCAGTGCGGCGTGGTCGGTTCAGTGCCAGCATCTTCTTCTCTTCTTCTTCCTCCTTTTTCCATCCAGTTGCGGCTCAACTTCCTTTATTCTACGCAATCACACCCATATATATTTCAAACCGGGCAATCCAGCTTCTTAATCAGATCTTCCAATCTAAAGCACTGTGCGAACTTCTTCCTTCTCTTCATATTGTTATCTAATAAGGGTCGGTGATGTTGTGAGTTAATTATTTACTTCATTTATATTTGTCCTTTAACTATCTAGGGTTCTTGAAAACTCTGCAATTGGACTTTTGATCTATTATCATACATATATGTTGGTACAAGATAGCTTCATATAGTAGACCTAGCTTGCACCTCATTTAATTGTTCTTACTACTGTTCCTCTACTTGTCTCTTTCTTGGACTGCGACTATCTTTTACTGTAATATTTTCATGTATATTTCGATTTGAGTTGGAGATGTTTCTGTATAATCAAAACCTACATAATTAAAGTTTATTCCGTTTACTAGCTATATTATGTTATTATTCTTCGATATAGGAAAATTATTTATACGAATCTTACTGTTTTGGATGTGATAACTTGCAGAATAGTTGCATAATTGTGCATTTTCTGTTTCAATATTGTTCATCATGAATACCAAATCTGTGAAATTGAAAATTACTTTGCCGCCGCTGAGAAGGAACACTGAAGTTTAAGAGCTGCATTTTTGTCTTATAACTACCAATATGGTTTAGTTTTTCTGAAGCAGAGGTACTTAATTATTAGATTCATATATGTTGAAGAGATCACTTGTGTTTGAACATACACATATACACCTACCAACACTTCAGAATGAAAAAGTTTCCTTGTTGAAGGTGGAAGAGAAATTTGGCGAACGAAGAAGGGAAGCACAGCAAAATTCTCTGCATTATTGGGAAAGCAACCATGAGAGACATAAGATGAACAGAACTCCAAAGGAAGCAGATTTCTCATTAAAACAGGAAAACCATGACAAAGCGAAGGCTTCAACTTCATCAAGCAGCTTAACAACACAATGGCTAAGATCAAAGGATTCAAGGATTGTTCGAGTTTCACGAGCCTTGGGAGGTAAAGATCGTCACAGCAAGGTTTGTACAGTGAGAGGACTGAGAGATAGACGAGTGAGACTTTCAGTACCCACAGCTATTCAGCTATATGATCTTCAAGACAGGTTAGGGTTTAATCAGCCCAGTAAGGTTGTGGATTGGTTGCTTGATGTAGCTAAACATGAAATTGATGAACTCCCACCACTGCAAATTCCACCTGGAAGCTTCAGTTTCTATCATCAACCATCTGGAGTAACTTTCATGAACAATGATGAAATTATAACTAGTTCTCAGCAAAATGAACAAGAATTTAACATCAATGAGAGTCTTCATCATCACTTGGAAGGTTCAAACCCAATCATGTCCAAGTCTAAAGGAGAAGTGGCTGTTGAGAAAGCAAATTGGAACAGAAGGGAAGAAGATAGAGAGAATGTGTTAACAAGAGGAAACAATCATCATCATCATCCTTCTTTTCTGGGTTTGTTGAACACTATGCCACTCGGTTATACTGTTAATAACCAATGGGAGGCTAATTCAAGCGACGTTTCTCACTCAGGAAACCTTGGATTTGCAAACCAGCATCAGACAGATTCTAACGCTGTACCTTTCTCAGCACTGTCATCAAACTTGTCTTTATCAACTGGACAGATAACTCAGCCATATTTTCCTTCACATTTTGGAGCAATGGACGTGGATCCAAGGCAGATCAATGAGTATCAGATGTTGAGTTCATCAAATTCTCTGGTGAGTCCTTCTGCTAATACTACAAGCCAACCTACGAAGCCATTCAGCTTGAGTATGATGATGAATCCTAAACTTCTCCGATCATCCAACAGCAGTGAAACACAATGTCGTAAGAAAGACCGGGTTTTTCCTTCCAAGTGATACGCACATGATACAGGATTTTCCTCAGAAGAAAATAAGCATGGATATAAGGAAGATATATTAAATTCTACTAGATGTGTTTTAAATAATCACCTTCTTCCTTCGTGAACTGATGTTTGACTTTCTGTTGGTTTACGCTTTATCAGTGCGACCTTTTGTTACTTTTTCTGCGATCAGTCTGAATGCTGTCATAAGAAAAAGTAAATGAATCTGCTCTTCACTACTGACTTGCGTTTTAATTTCGATCTAAGATTTTTTTTAATACTTAATTATTTATTTTTGTATTAATGATATATTTAGCTGCTGGACATCTTGTGCAATTGATCGACTCATATAGGATTCTCCAACATATTTTTAGGATCTTGCTTCATTGGTTTTAATCTATACCATTCTATAGAGTGCATTTGATCGTCTAAACTGTTCAATAGATTTTATCTTTTTGTGTTTATATTCAAATCATCGTTTCTTAGAAGACATCAGGTAGAAAGATTGTTGTTATTATGCGTCATGGTATATTTAAGATAAAAGTATTAAATTTAATTAGATTATATCAATTCTTAACAATGCAAATTATCTCTCTCTTTTTTTCAGCTCATTTAACATTATAACTATCGATATTTCAAAAAAGTAATGTATCTGATATGATACACAACTCTATTATGTAGTTATAAGCATAACATATTCTACCATCTTTAACATCAGTTTTAATTTTTGGAAATATCCTTAGTTTATGCAAAACGTTTTTTTTTTTGGTTAAATATTACGGGGTTCTCTATATTACTTTTGAAATATTGTTTATGTTATTCATTTCTCATGAATTCATTTGTTGTCTATAATTATATATGCATATTTGATATTTCTCGTATTTATATCCCAAAATTTTAAAATATGTTGCACGTTCGTGATATATTTTTATGTCCATCATATCTTGATATGCATATATACCCGTCTTTAACAAGATTCTTCCATGTCCTATGAAAGAAAAACAAATCCATTTAAAATATATGGCTTTGTCAATCTAAAAATGTTTTAGCAAATGGCTCAGATGTCAAGCATTTTTCATTAGTCTATAATGTTATTGCAATTTAGTAATTATAGTTTTTCAATTAAGGAATCATATATACACACGCACGCACACACATAATATCATTAATATTTTAATATGGATTAAAAATTAATGTGTATATAAAGAATTACTTTTTATTATTGGCATTTAAAAATTTTATTAATTAGCCTATTTAAAAGTCGTTATTCTTTTATTAGTTATTTATGATATACTACCTCCAATTTTTAATATTAAAACTACTTCAGTGGTTGAATTTGATTATAAGTATACGACTTTTTTTTAACCAAAAATTATAAATATAAGACGTCAATGTGTTTTATCCACCATCATTCCCCAAAATATTCTCTCTTTTTTTTTTTAATTATGTATAAGTATCTTCCTATTGAAAGTAATCCTATTCAAGGTATTGTTGGGCATTAATTAGTGGCACTTCATTCAGTGAGGATTTGAACCTTGATTTGCCATGTTATAAAGGACTAACTTCTTCTGCTAAACCTAATAGTCAAAATATCCCTATTAATCTTAAGGAGTTCCCACTAAGAGATAATTTCAATAATCCAATGCACATAATTAAAGAGGATAGTTTATGGAGACCAACACATATTTGTAACAAATAACCAACTTAATTGATTTTTTTAATATCCACAAAATTAGTTATCTAGCTCTTATACTAGGGATAGATGTGGTATTTTAAAAGACATTTTAAAAGCTGAGCCACCTGAAAATGACTAAGAGATAATTTCAATCATCCAATGCATATAACTAAACAGGATAGTTTATGGAGACCAACACATATTTGTGATAAATAATCAACTTAATTGATTTTCTTAATATCTACAAAATTGGTTATTTAGCTCTTATATCAAGGATAGATGCAGTATTTTAAAAGACATTTTAAAAGCTAAGCCACTTGAAAATGACCATATTATAAAACTTGGACTCAATTATTATATGCTGATATAATTTCTTTAATTCTAAAAAAATAGAAGTAAAGTTGAAAATATTTTTGCAACGCTCTTCAGATGCAAAGCAAACCCCTTGGGTGTGGATTTGTTGCAAGGCCTCGACTCAACTATTATGTTTACCTAATTTTTCATTTCTTTGCTATTATAATCTAGCTACAAGTTAGGATCGAACATTTCCGACTTACTTGGAAATATAAGGTAATTCATTTGAAAATAAAATGTCATAAGACTTGAATTCAACTATTCCTTTTGGCAGCCCAAAAAAAAAAGTATACACTGTTTCCTTGGCCTAAATAAAGCATTATGTTGTTTTGATATTCACTACTAAAACTAGAGCTAGACCGGAAATATTTCCCAATTCACTTAAAAATACAAAAAAGATAAGGCATAAGGAAATGAACTTTCTACCAGACTTGGACTCAATTATTTTGGATCTAATTTCTTGACTTATTGAAAAATGGAATCTATGTTGGAAATGTTTTGCAGCTCACTTGGAAATACAAGATAGTACTTTATCTAAAAAAAAAAAAAAGTAAATAAAACCACTTGGAAACAAACATGTTACATATATATAAAACTTTTTTTCGACCAATGAAAGGGAGAAGCTATATTGGAAACACTTTTGCAACTCTCTTGGAAATGAGTTTATATTTCTAAATAATATAACCTCTATGAAAATATCTAAGAGGGTTAAGACAATTTTTTTTTTTGGCTTTTTAAGTAGAGAGGAATGCAATATAACATAAAGTTTTTAAGATAATTATAAATTTTAAATAAAAATTATATAATTTTAAAACATCATGAAACATGCATGTAAAATTTTATAATCTATAAAGAACTTTCAAAAATTTTTACATAGAAGCAACGTTGTTTCGGAAGTTATTTTGGATTTAATAACGTCACCTCAGAAATTTTAAAATTTAACAACATTACCCCAACTCGTTTGAAAAAGCAACGTAGAATTTTAAAAAAATTGACATTAATTGTTAACATTTTTAACAGTAATAGATTATATTGCGTAATTGTAACATATTTTTGGGGCAACCTTAAATCCAAAAAAACTTTCAAAGAAACATTACTCCTAAGTAAAAACTTTCTAGTCAAATTTTTACCTCAACCAATTTTTTAGAGTAATAAATTCCAAAAAAAATAAAAGATATTTGTAATTTTTAACATAAATATTTATCTATTTCAACACAGATTGGATATGCAATATCGAAGGGGTTTTTTTTTTGTGTACAATGCAAATCGAAGTTGAACTCACAGTTGACAACTTCGGCCCAAAATCACAATTCCCAAGTTTGGGCCTTTTTTATCTCCAGTCCAGGCACAAGGTTGAACTGTGCACCTTTTCAGCCTAAGTTCCTGATGACCAAAATAATAAACTTCTTTAGCTTAGGAAAAAAAGAAATATTTAGTGTAATACTCTTTCGATCCTTAATATAAGATCCATTTAACTAATTTGATTATATTAAGAAATTTAAGTAAGTTATTTAATTATAAGAAATGTGATACTTTTTTTTTCTAAAATACCATAATCATCTTTCTTAATACCCCATCTTCCTCTTCTACTTGATTATGGTTAAGGGAGTATTCACAGGGGTAGTTTAAAGAAAATTGATAAATATGATAAATGGGTCTTATATTTAGGACCAAAATCAACTCAACAATTGGTTCTATATTAAAGACCAGACGAGTATTATTCAATTGAAATAAAGAATAGATATTATTCAAAGATAAAGAATGTTCTCTTGACAGTGTCTTGCCCATGGTAAAAGAAAGTAAAGCATAAAATTATGAAGAAATAATGAAGGCGTAATGATTAGGAATGGTACTTTTAGTGGATGATTCCAGTGGCCACCCACTTCGAGGGCTGAGGCACTCAAAAACCCTTTGCTTTGGTTTGGACCACACAACACGTCTTTCAATTCAAGCCTTGTAATGTTGCAAAACCCTAAGAATTGGACACTCATTAAAGTGACTAATTAATAGATCTACTCACCCACAATACCTGTTATAATAAGATATTCTTAACCATTTTACAAGAATTAAAGAGCAGCGGTTAAGTTATTAATTTTTTTAAAAAAATAAAATAAATTTAAAAAATTACCTATGCTCAAATGGAAAGTTTTCATATTTATCTTTCATTTTCTAGAAAATATCTTATAATAATAGGTGGTGTTATATGCTCTTTAGTTTAAAAAAAAAAAAAAGAAGGGAAATCATGGTGAGTCCCAAGGAAAAAAAAACATCAAAAGGTCTTAATAACAAATGAGCAGCTTAAATTTTATTATTTTCAACACTAAAATTTGTTATTAATTTATTATGAGATTTTTTTTCGCAATTATGTTTTTTCCCTTAGGATCACAGTGATTTTTCCACCCAAAAAAAAGTCAAGTTTACCTAATTGCACAAATATTAGGAATAGAAGTTAAAAAGAAAGTTAAATGTACTAAATACATCTTCCAAAAAGTTACAACATTACTTCTCAAAATCACTCTTATTAAATTTTTCATTATATTATTTTGCCACTCACTTTTCATAAGAATCAAATATCTAACATTTAACTGTGCAAAGCATAAAATTTAGGAAAAAAATTCATATATATTATTAAATATGACTTTTTATATTTTGTACTGAAGAAAGTAAAGATAACATTATAAAAACAAGGATTGCTTTACCTTCTCACAGTCTCTCTTAGGCATTGATTAGTATTGTTTGACCAGATCTTACCTCTGTCAATCACTTTGCATAATTAAGCAACACTATTGGGATCATGTGCATATAATGCATCCCATGATTATCTATTCACATGCTTCACTCTCTGTTTATATATATATATATATATATATATATCTGTATGTATGTATGTATGTATACGAGGCGTGATGGATTTGGAATGCTTAATTGCTTTATCAATTGACCACTCAATGCATCCCCTTTGGATGTGTAATAAAGTCTACTTCACCTCCACATTAAGATTATTAAGTGGTCCTAATTAATTAAAGTAGTTAAGGAGTACATGTGTGAAAATTCCTATAATTTGCGTAAAAATCCAATATTTGACTTCTTTATAATAAACCGACTTGAAATTTAATGCTTTCTTAAGAGATATTATGTGCTTTGCTACTCAATCTTATGAGTATTGGCTCTGTACTAAACTTTTCTGTATGCATAGATAGCCGTTATTTTTTTGTG